GGCGGGGGAGGGGGAGGGGGAGGGGGACGGTAGCATGCAGTGCATGTGTGTGGCCCAGACAGTCAGACGGTCAGACAGGCGGACAAACAGTAGCATAGCGTGTGTGCCTAAACCCAAGTGAGGATGTTTTTGGTCTGATGCGATGGGACTGTCAATCAACTGATTCTCTTGAATGCGTCCCCCCTGCAAATCGCCAGCTGTGAGCCAGCAGCCACTGATGTGATTGATGTATTCACATGCACATGTGCACTCGTTCACTGATTGAGTCAGTCGTCAGCCATACATCCCATATGACCCATCAATCGTCTCCGAATCTAAGGGGGCACAGCAGCCCAATCCAACATCATGCAGTCAAAGCGCTGTCTATCCACCGAATGAATGAATGAAACAATCTCCCTCCCCCCTCTCGCCGCACCTTCACATCATTCATCCACAGGCCACATTCTCGTCTATCTTGGATGGGGTGGGTGCACGGCAGGTCGTCCGTCACCTCACTCAGCCGTTGACGATGCACGTCCACGCCTTTGGCAAGGAGCCCACAGTGTAGATGCACGGCCTTATCTTCTGCGTCCGGCCGTTCTTGTCGTTCCTCAGGGTCGACTCGCACGTGGCGCACTGGCCCTTCTTGCAGTTGTACTTGACAGGGATCTTGTTCTTGGCGCATATCTCAGCCAGTGACTCGCCCGGCTTGGCCTCTATCGCCTTCTTGCTCGGCTCGAACGTTATCGTCACCTACAGCAGAGGCGCAGCCGATGCAGAATGAATGAACCTGAACGCGTTGCCTCGCTATTCTCTTACCATTTGCAAGGGCCTCGCTCTCATCCGTCGGTGCGGCCTCGTGCTTTCACCGCGCCATTGTGGTCTCGTTGCAGCGAACGCCGCGCCGTTCCTTCTTCTCAATAATGAGTCGCCAGATGCGGGAAGGACCATCAGCAGAGCCCACAGGGCTGAAACCAGCAGCGCCTTGAGGACGGATGGCAGCAGGCAAGATGAGTCCATTCCGGAGATCTGCCGTCGGATCTGCCTTTATTTCGTCTCTCAAAGCAGCACAGACGTAGCAGAGAACTCTTTGGACAAACGCCCGGATCAGCAGCGGTTGGGGCGGACAGAAAAACGGAACAGGCTGCGAGCTTGGCAGGAAAGGAAGCTGCGACGTTGAAGGAGAATTCTTCTCAGTCACGGTCCCACAAGGCCTTTCATGGCCCACATGACGTGAGATGAGAGAGTGATAGTTCTATCGATATGTTGTCGATGTATGTGGAGGATCCCATCTACTACCACAAGTCTGAGTACATCCAGACGGCGTCGGGCAACAAAGTCAGCCGCAAATCGGTCCTCTGCGGCAGCCAAAACATTCAGCTGTCAGGACGGGTCTGAAAACAAACAACACTGAACACACCTCTGCTGACGTTCTGACTCTCTGTTCGTTCCGGTGTTGTGTGTGTCATGCAGTCGATAATCAAGCCCGGTGTGATCCTTCGTGGCGATTTGGCGCTGCTGAGGATCGGCAAGTATGTCATTGTGGGCGAGGACACCGTGCTCAGGCCGCCTTACAAGAAATACAGAGGGTGGGGTGCCCTGCCTGCCCACCACAGCACCACCACCAAGTCATGACATGTTGTTCCGCATCTGTGTGTGTCTGCACTGACTGCACTGACTGCAGTGGGTTTGCGTTCTTCCCGATGGCCATCGGCGACTACGTGACGATAGGGGACAAGACGGTCGTCAACGCGGCCCTCATCGGATCCTATGTCGACATCGGAGACAACTGCATCATTGTAAGTAACCACGCGATACATACACAGGAGGGATGCACAGAGCACTGGCCCGTCCCAGAGGCCAACGTGTGTGTGGCTTGGTTGGCTCTTGTTGTGTTGTGTTGTGTTGTGTTGTGGGCTGTCAGTGCAAGCGGTGTGTCATCAAGGACAACTGCCGCATACTGCCGGGTGAGGGCGTGGCGGGCGGCACACTTGAAGGCACGACGACAAGGCACCCAACGATCTGTTGCTCTTTTTGTGTGTGTGTGTGGGTGCCTCCCTTCTGCAGGGACGATCCTGCCACCCGACACAGTGGTGCCGCCATTCACCGTGTTTGGAGGGACGCCAGGTGGGCGACTGGGACCCCCTGGACTGACGCCGGTCTGTTCTGTTCTCCTACACCACGGCTGCTGTGTGGTCGGTCAGGGCGTTGCCTGGGGGAGCTGCCCGAGTCCGTGCAGTTTGTGCATAAGGTGCGTGCGTGGGCCACGCACACAGACAGCCGAGCCACCCAAGCGCTAATACGGATGTGTTCGATGTGTGTGTCCGATGTGTCCGATGTGTGTGTGCAGGAGAGGGCCAATGCGTACTACCGCCGGTTTGTGCCCCAGCAGAAGTCCTCACGGGCGGCACGCGGCACCTGATCGATGGACTGACTGATTGATAGCGGGGGGATGTGTTGAGCTGGATGGATGGATGGGGGAGGGGGTGCAAATGAATCAATCTGTCCATCCGTTGCTGACTTGTACAAGTGTGTCGGCTGCCCTGCCCTGCCGTTTGCTGCGCTGCGTGTACATATGGTTGCTGGTGATAGGATAACCTCCCACTCACTTTTTGCATGTGCATGTGCGTTGGTCTGAGTGTGTCAACCATACAATATGTGTGTGTCTGTCCACGAAATCCAATCCACCAGGTGTCCTGTTCCCCCCTGTCTGTCACCCAACCACTGTACAGCCACTGTCAGCCAGACAGACGAGTAGCCAATCGCAGCAGCAGAAATCGACACACATATACACGACACCTCCCCCACCCCACCGCCCCGCCCGCGGTCTCCTTCACATAAGGAAAGATAATCCATCCATCCATCCACCATCCCATCGACACAGCTAGCTGAGAAAACACCTGACAGACCGTGCGCTTCACGCTTCAAAACAATCACACGATGCCGTCTGTCCAGCTGTCACTATGCTAGATGAGAGAAACGCCCCCGGCCTCTCCCCTTTCTCTGGCAGCGGCCTGCTGCTGGGCGGCCACACCCAATGGCGGCAGGCGTGTTGGGGTATACTTGAACTGCGCGTCCACCGGAGTGGCCAATTCGATCTCGTCTAGACTGCTCTCCCTGTTGAAAGTTGGGGCTGAGTCGTGGGCAGGGTCGTCCTTGGTCTGCATGGCTGGGGGCACGGCGTCATCGCAGATGTCTCTTTGTGTCCGTGTGATGTCGATGTCGTCCACTTGCTGGCGGTACCTGCCCACCATCTTGGGGACGCCGGGCTGGGGGGAGTCCACCTGGGAGGGATCGGCAGAACAGATGTTGACGGGCCCGCGCTCCTTGGACCGACAGAAGTAGACCACACACGCCTGCAGGAGGAGACGAAGGACGGATGTGTGTGTCTCACGTGTGGCGTCAAAGACTGACTGACCAGTATCGCGGCGCCGGTGCAAGGTATGGCTAGAATGACGGCGACAGACATGGCTGCGACGATGAGGTTGCGATGTGGGTTCTTCTTCTCCTTGTTGCCGCCGGGGGGCGGCTCGATCTCCTCAAGATTGTCGCCACCCATCGACTGCTGGCTGGAGAAATCATCCTGCGCCTGATGGACAGTGGACATTGCGTCTTATCCCTTCCTTCACGAGCCATCTGTGCATGTCTCTGTGTGCCAGTGTGCGCCGCCTACCTGAGCAGCTTCCTGCGTGCTGACCGGCTCCCGGCTGCTGCCGCCCATCTGTGACGACACCGCAGCCGGACTCCTCTCCCCGGCTGAGCCACAACAAACAAACGGTTGAGAGAGAGAGAGGTAGCATGGCGTTCGTCTCAGTCAGTCTAACGTCACAGGTGCTACCTGCTTGTGTCGCCCCTGCTGCCTCTTCCCAGCATGGTGGAATGTTGCACGGCACATTGCGGGTGAGCGGTGGGCACTCCTTCCCTGTAGTCGACTTCTGCCGCACCATCTCACGACGCTGACGCAAAAAACCACCTGCACGCAGCAAGGCGGCCAGACCAACAAAGACATCCATCTCCCTCCCTCCCTGTCTGCTGAGAACTCACTCTGCATCCGGTCGCATTTGTCCTTCCCTTGGCTGCTGCATTTGCCGTCGATCGTCCAAGGGCCCACCACACAGTCCGCCCTGTACTCTAGCCACGCCTTGGGCATGTTGAATGGCGGGTAGGTCTTTCCGGCGCCGCTGGATAGGGGAGGGGGGCTGCGTTTGTTCTTCTTCTTTGCAGGGGGTGGAGCGCCGTCCGTGTTGTTCTTGGGTGCGATTGGTGCAACCACTGCGTCTGACAGGTACTCTGCTGCGAACTTGGTCTGCCAGAAGGAGCCCGTCTCTCGAGCAATCTGCACAGCATCAATGAATGGATCAGCTTAACGCCGGATTGCTCCATTGGATTCTTTCCGTCTGTTTTGCCCGCACCTGGTCGTCGATCTTCTGCATGGCGTCCACTGCGCCCATCTCGCGCAAGCCGCCCTGCATGGAGCAAAGGAGACACAGCAGCCATCATTGGTCAGAACCAATGGCGTGTCTATCATGATGTGTGTGCGTGACCTTTCGTCGCGTCATTACATTTTCTGGCGGTGCGATGTCGAACTCGACTATCATCAGGTTGGGCACATCACTCAGCTGCCCGGAGGCATCGGACACGTTCTTGATGTTCACCCGGGCCGCAGCTATGCCTGCACACGACCACGGATCGTTGTCTTGCACTGAGAGCTCTGGCTTCCGTGTGACTATTGACTGACCTGCGGCCTCGGTGAGGGCTGACTGGATGCTCGAGGCAAAAGGCACGGAACTCCTGGTGAAATAGTAGTAATCGAGACGCATGAAGAGGGACCCCCGCACGCCCATCATACGCCTGCAAACACACGAGAAGGTTCACGGCGCGGGTGGGTGTGCTGTCTCCTTCTTTGCTTACTGTTTGTGCATGGGGTCCCACATGAAGAGATCGTCGAAGGCCAGCCACTCGAGCCAGATGGGCTCGTGAGGCCCGTCATGGTACCACATCTCCGTCACGCACCCCCTGAACCCCCGCTCGCTCAGCTCCTCCACCCACGCAGTCGTGGCCTCGAAGTCCTTGGTCTTCTCCCTCTCGCCCCTGTGGCTCGCCGTCACAAAGACATAGGGCACGCTGTCAAAAGGCGTCGAGAAGGTCACGTTGATGCATATCCTGTGGGGGGCGTTGGGGAAGAGAGTGTCATCGCCATGACCGTGGTGGTGAACAGCGTCGAATGGGTGGTGGATGGTCTCAAGCATGTCCTTGGAAGGCTGTGGGCTGTTGGGCCAGGCCGTCAGGACCGAGCCGCTCTGCGCGTGCGGCTCGTTGGGCAGTTTGGATGGATCAAATGCCAGATAATTGATGTGGATGGATCGATGCCCAGATGTCTCGAATATGGGCTCGTCTCGAGCGCACACCTGGAAGGGAGGGACAACACACCATCCATCAATCGTCGATCGACGACAATAGAGAGACATGATCAGAGCGTATCTTGCACAGGCCCACCCTGGCCCTCTGGTGGTCGACCGCCTCCACCCAAGCAGTGTCCTGATGCCTCAAAGGGTGTCGTCCCGTCGTTTGGTGCTCTAGAGCCACCAGCAGGCGGGGCGAGCCCTTGAACGGCGGAGAGAAATTGATCCACCGGCAGCCCACACCGTAGAACCGGGTCCCCACCTTTGGCAAGCGGATGCGCCCGCCCTGGCTGAAAGAGAAAGGGTTCCCCTGGAAGGCAAACCTGATTGATCATCGGATTGAGAATGATGCATAGAGACACACATGAATGGATCGTTTGTTTTGTCACGTAATATACCAGTCGACGTGCAGGTCAGGATGGTGGTCGAACTGCACAACAGCGCCCTTGCCCTTGCCATCGTCAGTCCTATTGACGTGTGTGGTGTTGTCGTTCACACACACCTCGAAGCCCTCATTGGCCTCGCCACTGTAATTGATGTCAAACCAGCCGGTGCTGGCAGCTGAAGAAGCAGACCATACAACACCCAGATGACAACAGGCCTGGATGCGTCCGCCCCGCCCCGCCCCGCACCGTCAGTTACTTACGAAGCGGCTGCGTGGGGTCCGGTCTCCGGCCGAAGTGGTTGATGGACATCAAGACAGTCGTGTGGTCATCCGATACTTGGAAGGGGACGTCATAGACCACAATGGAGCACAGAGTGGTGGTAGAGTTGAGATAATAGTAGTTGCGATGGCCCGACTCGACGGCAGACTCCGTCATATTGTACCTGCCTGCACCGTGAGACCAAGATCAGAGACGACAGCATGGACAAATGTGATCCGGGGATGTCATTCATCTTTGCTCTTACCGAATCGCACATCGGCGTTGGTGGCGGAGCTCGGGTTGACCATTGAAACGACAACAGAGAGGCTCAGGAGGAAGAGGAATCGGGGCGACATGATATCGCAGAAATGCATACAGGCAAGAGCCCTGATCAACTCACTCGTCTGCCAGAGCACCAGAAGGCCCTTCAGATGGGTTCTCAACAGTAAGGAAGGCTGTCCGCGATCTGAAGCTCTGCCAGTGCGAGCTTAGATAAGCGCTTTCGAAATGACGGCTCTCCCCCGCTCCGCAAGCTGTCCCGCAGGATCTGGGCATTGCCGGGATCTTCAACCGGCTGGTGCCCGGGCCACACGGCATTCTTCATCGAGCTGCTGTGGCTGCTCAGCAAAGAGCGGCGATGTGGCCAGCTGGCACCTCACCGTCCGGTTTCTCCGCCTGTGTTTGAGGGTCAGGGATTGATGTGGGTATTACGTCGTCCAAAAACACGGAGTGCATGCACACATGCCTGGGAGGGTCTGTCTACCCGTCGGTCCGTTTCGCATCAAAAGTGAGTCGCCACATACCTACCTGTCTGTCTGAGCCGACAGGCCAGGCCAGGCCAGCCACAACAAAGACTCGCCCTCACCCTCTCACCCGTCATGTCATCACACCCCAACAGCAATCAAGCGACCAATGTACACGCACACAGGCCACGCCATACAGACAGACAGAGAGATATTACGAGAGACACACACAGGGATGTCGAGTTGACACATACTGTAATGCGATCGCCTGCCTCTCACTGTGCCTGGCTGTGCGCTGCTGTTCGATGTGTGTCGTTGCGTCGAGGGTTCCTCGCTGCAGTCGCATGATCATTGCACGATGGGACACCACGTGCTGGGATCATATGCAACTGCGGCGGGGAAACAGCGATCACAAGACACACCTGAACGGCAGCCACGTGTCGCACAATTCATTCAGCAAAAAATGCGTCAACAGGTGTGTCTCGACGGATGGCAAGCAACCTGAACAAACAAAGACAGACAAGGGCACGCCTGACGTCTGTATTTGCACTCACGTAGCGTAGCCCCCCGGTCTGTCTCGGTGTTTGTGTCTGTCTGTCTGTCTGTCTGTCATTCGGTACCTTCGCGATGCAGGTACAGAATGTGTGTGCGTATCCATCATGCGAGCTCCGCCTGCAGGGCAGCCAACTGGTCCTCGTCGCTCAGAGGCTGACACACATTGTGACACACACCCATGTCATCAATCCACCCCACACGCACTGCACTTGTCTGGTCAGCTCATGTCATGCTGCAGGCCTGTTCTCCTACCTTTGCGGCCTGTTGTTGTGTCTTGACGGGCGCTGGGGCGGAGGGAGCCGCCTCTGCTGAAACGCCTGAACATCGCAATACACACACACACACAGATGAACGAAATCTTCCTCCGTGCCATGCGTGGGGATCAACACAACACACGTACCGGCGGCCTCGGCTCCGGCAGGCACCGCCGGCAGACCTGACAAACACATACGCGCACACAGATAGAGTTAGGCGTGTACACGAATCTCGGTGGGTTGTTGGTCCGTCCGTATGTGTGTGTCGCTGCCGCACCCGTCGGGACGGTGCCTGCACTCAACAGCTTGTTGTCCAGCTCTGATCCACACACACACACGAGAGAGATACGTGAGCAAGTATCCGGCTGTGTTGTCCCGTGTTTTCCCGTGTCTGTGTGTGTACCCTCTGCCTCGAGCTCCTGCAGCTCGTTCAGCAGCTCATCCTGAACCACACATTAACGCAGATACTCCCGCGTTGCGTTCCCAAGTGTGTGTGTCTTGTCAGTGGCTGTGGCGTGCGTGTGTGTGTGTGCATGTATTGCGCACGTCGTCCATGATGGGTTGTCCGCTGGAGAGGACCTGTGCGACCTCATTCTGCAGGTCCTGCTGCTCCTGCATGTCCTCCATCAAATTGTCGATCTTGTCAATGTTACTGAGGAGGACATGCCAAACCAAACCAAACCAACACACCAAATCAACAACCATGGACTGGACACAGCCACCCGACCCATGTGTGTGTGCCCTCCCCTCCCCTCCCTGCCCTCTTGGTTGCTTTGCTTACAGTCGCTGGTTCATGATCTTCTGCGCGTTGACGCCTGTCTGCAGGGCCTCGACAGCCACCGTCTGTGTCTGTGCGCTCTCGAGTGTCATGATCTGCTGCTCCAGCGTCAGCCGGGCGTTGTTGAGCTGGTCCAGCTCCTGGTTGAACAGCTTCTTGCGCTTGAGAGCCAGCAGCGCCCCCCGCTTGTCCTTGGCCCTGGTCTTGGCGCGCGCCTCATCCTCCTGCGCCTGGATGCGCTTCTCCAGATGCTGCTGCCGCTTCTCGAGAGTCGCGATGGCCTCCTTGTTGGACTTGATGGCCGTCGGCAGATCAACCTGCGGCACGCAAGACAACACACAGGAGAAAGCGGCAACGCCGGGCATCTGTGCTGTGCTGTGCTGATCTATGCATCGCGTGTGTGCTGTCCAAACGCACCGCCGGAGCCTTGTTCTCCTCCTTCTTGGCGCCGAAGAACAACCTCATTTCGGCAAAACAGTGAAGGGCGTCAAGACTGGGAGAGCTCCTCAGTGAGATCAGAAAAAACAAAAGCTTAGCTGCTGTGATCAACACACTCACTCCCCTGGACGCCTCTGGGAACGTTTCAACTCCTCTGCGTCTAAGCTCGCACCGATCGCCCGAAGAGGGTGCGATTTCTCTTCCCCCAGGCCACGCTCCGTTGCAGTGAATCGGAGAGGGTGCCCGTCGAGCAGTTGTTGTCTTGTTTGAGACCCTCGACAGTCGTTCTCGTTCCCTCGCTCCTCCCGACCTTTCGGCTCTGCCGAAGTCGCTCTCGCGTGTGTGTGGCTCGCTATCTGTCGATGAAGGCCTCGTCGTCCCCCTCGTCTGGCAAAAAGAGCCCCCCAAAGGGCGCCGGCAACCCCTCTCTCACACCGTCGGCAGGGGCCGCAGGCAAGGCGGCCAAGCCCACCTCGGGAGGCGCCTCCCCTTCGAGTGCTCTGGGTGCATCGGGGAAGCTGGGAGGTGGTGGGTCGGGGGCCAAGTCGCCCGCTGCCGGCAAGGACCGCTCCAACTCCCCTGCCTCCAAGTCGCCCACTGACAAGGCGTCTGCGGCGGCTACCCAGCAGCGGCGCCGCCTGTCGGTGGTGTCGGGCACTCAGGGGTTCGAGGCGGACGGTGTGGTGGAGCACGCTGTGCAGGAGGAGGCCAAGAGCAACTTGAAGGTGGGGCGGGGCGGGGTGGTGTCCAAGTATGCGAGCAAGAGCAAGGTAGGGGTGGTGCCGATGAACCCCAACAAGGTCAACCAGGACAGCCACTTTGAGATCGAGCAGTTCGCCAACGACCCCACGCAGTACTTTTTCTGCGTCATGGACGGCCACGGCTACCAGGGCAGAGAGGTCAGCCAACTCATCACCCGCCGGCTCCCCAACTACCTGCAGAGCGAGCCCACCCTCCGCACCGACCCCAAGGCCGCCATACAAAAGGCATTCCACAAGACCAACCACGAGCTCTTTCGGTCGTCACTCGATATCACATTCTCAGGTGGGGTGGGCACAGGGGCGGCGGGGTGAGAGAAGAGGGTCAAGTGACATTGTACTGGCGGGCTTCTGGTTGTGTGCAGGTTCGACGACCATATCAGTGTTCATCCGCGGCGCCACACTCTACTCGGCCAGTGTGGGAGACAGCCGAGCCATCTGCGGCAAATTCAAAGGCGCGTGTCCCACACACCCCCACTCCCACCCACCACACCAGCCACACCTGCATGGACACCCACTCATGGATTCATATTCACGTCTGTGTGTGTGTGCGTGCAGACGGTCGTTGGTCAGCTCAGGCGTTGAGTGACGACCACAAGCCGGACCGCCCCGACGAGAAGAAGCGCATCGAAGACCGCGACGGGCGCGTCGAGTCGTTTCGGGGCTCAGACGGGGAGCCCATCGGCCCCCCACGTGTGTGGCTCAAGGACCAGGACGCGCCGGGCCTCGCCATGTCGCGGTCGATGGGCGACAGCGTGGCAGCATCGGTGGGTGTGACGGCCGAGCCCGAGATCAAGATCTTTACCTTGACAAGCGAGGACAAGTTCATCGTGCTGGCGAGCGACGGCGTGTGGGAGTTCATAGACAACGAGGAGGTGGTCAAGATCGTGAGCCCCTTCCACGACAAGCAGGACCCGCAGGCGGCCTGCGACGCCCTGGTCAAGGAGAGCAACCAGAGATGGCGGGCCGAGGAGGAGGTCATCGACGACACCACCGTCATTGTCGTCTTCCTCAACGCACCCTGACCTGACGGATCCACACTCTCGGTGGGGGGGTTTGGGGGTGGGGTGCACAGAAGAGATGGAATGGGTAATGGGCACAGGCGCCTCCTTGCTTGCGTGTGGTCATGCTGGTCGATCAGGTGCGCATCTATCTATCTATTCACCTGTGCACAGCTATACTACTGGATGGCATGGCATGGCGTCGCTCATTCACTCACCCTACTCACTCTACCTACCTATCACTGGCTGATAACTGGCTGCTGATGCGTACGTGCGTACGCTTCTGGCTTGCTTGGTTGTTATCCCATCTACCTGTATACCTATAATGCAATCAATGCGCGTATGTATGTGAATGCATAGCCGATGGACGGATGGACGAATGGATGTTCGGTTGGGTGTGGGTGGTTTGGGTGGCCAAAAGGAGGGCCCGCGATCGATCAATGGAATGACGGACGGACGGACGGACGGACGGACAGACGTGTTGACGAATGAATGTGTGAATGCATTCACCCGGATGATATGCATATGTGCATGCACGAGAGAGAGAGAGAGAGAGAGAGAGAGGAAGGGGAGAGATTTGAAGGCCAGCCGATGGATGTCAGTGTGTGTATGCCTGTCCGGATTTGCCCCGCCCGATTTACGTGGGGAGACGAGCGGGCGGGATGGGCGTGCGCGAGCGGGCGGGATGGGCGTGCGAAATGGCTGGCTGCTTAAAGGATGGATCGATGGATGGATTGATGGATGGATGGAGGCACCGTCTCCGTGACACGCACGTGTACATATTTTTGCCTTGCCCCCTCCCCACCAAAACAAACCACATACGCACACACCCACACACACACCCCTATCGTCCTCTCTACCCTTCCTGGCCTGCCTGCCTGCCTGCCTGTCTGCCTTCTCCTGTGTATGGCCTAGTCAGTCTCTCTCCCCCCGTCCAGCCATCTGACTATCTTATCTACTACCTACCTATCTGCGAGGTGTTTGCCAGCCAGCGCTCAGTTAGCGCATCGGTGCCTTGATGAATCCATCCATCCATCCATTGATTGATTGATGTGGCGTGTCATGCCGTGCCGTGATGTGGTGGGGAGAGATCATATCAACCACTACCTAATATCTACCTAGTGGCCAGCCGGGCAATGGCCTCCTGTCTGCCTGCCTGCCTGCCTCTCTCTCTGCCCGCAAGGTAACGACGCTCGCGAATCGAGTGGCTGGATTCATGACTGGATGGCTGGCTGATCGGGGGGGCAGGGGAGACACGTGTGTTGGCTAACAGAGACAGACCTTCGAACGAACCGAGTGGCTGACAGACTCAGGGCGGCCTGGCCTGGCCTGGCCAGACAGGCCGCCCTTTATTCTATCGTGTATAAGGATTTGGTGTACATTCGTGGCATGCAGCCATCCATCCATCCATCCCCCACCCACATACCCGACCAACACGTCCGTCCGTCCACTCGTTGAAGCCAAGCCCCTCCCCCCACATACATGAAGCAACACTGGAAGGTCTGTGTTGTCTCTCCCATCCCACGAGCACACCATGCCATGCACACCCCCTCTCCCTTTCCCCCAGTCACCTCACCCATTCACTGTTGCATCGGCCCCTCTCCCCTCGTGTGTGAAGTCACCCGTGCTGTCACCTGTGCGCTTCCGCCCCGCGATCGGATGGTAAACCCAGGCAGCCGGATGCCCGTGGTGGTGTTGCTGCGCAGCTGCCGACGATTGGCAGCACCGGATGGTGGCAGTGGGCCGGGGAGGTCTCCCTTCGGACTGCCGTCGGTGCGTACCTGGGCCGGGGAAGACGCAGCCAGCTCTGACACACACACGAGGGTGAGCGCACTTGAGTGTGTGTTGGTGTTTCCAGCTGCCAGCGCCCCCCTCCCCACCCCACCTCTGTTTTCTAGTTTGGCTAGCTCCTCGCTTGCGTACTGGTCGATGAATTTCTCGAAGTCGCAGAAACCGCCGCCAATGCGGACTACACGGAGACACACATTTGATGCCCTAGCACTGTGTATTGTCGCCTCAGTTGTGTTGTGTGCTTACAGACGAGTTTGTCGTTGTTGTGTATGCGGACAATGACCCGCCGTGTGCCGAACAAATACACACCTGCAGCCAGCCAGGCAGCCAGGCAGGCAGGCGCAGACAAGGAGAATCGGCGTCTGCGTGTAGGTCTGTCTCCTGTGTGTGTGTGCCTGTATGTCGCCCGACCATCATCGAGCCGGAAGAAAGGTACTGGCGGGTGGAATGTGTTGACGTATTGGGCCAGCAGCTCGTCGATGACATCGCCCTTGAGCGGCTGGTACTTGGTCATCAGCTGCTTCAGCCTACACACACACAGACACAGCACAGGCGGATGCGATGCAGTTCATTAGTGAGTGGAGACACACGTGTTAATTGTGCAATGACTGCCGCACCTGGCCATGAGGCACCTAATTTCGGCGTTTTTGATCTCCAGCTCCGACGTGTGTGTGCTCTTGCCACCTGACACGACACCACATCCGCACACACAATAGCAATAGCCCGGCCTCGCCCCTGTGGCGTCTTCATCGTGTTGTGTCGATGAATTACTTTCCCATTCCTGCAAGAAATCCTGAAATTGCTGAGCCAGCGACGCCAGCTCGCCGTGAAGTGTCGCGCGGCACTGACACACGACACACACATACAGAACCGCACGGGAATGGTGTGTCGCTGCGTGATCGATCGTGTCTCTCTGTGCTCCGACCTGGTTGCTTTCGTTGAGCTCCTTCTGGACGCTCTCGAACTCACGGTGCAACTGAAGGCCACAGCAGGAGGGGTATATTCCATTCACACATGCCTCCGACCGTCTGTCTGTCTGTCTGTCTGTATATCTCACTTCGTTATACGATGCCTTCTCTACGCGGAGCCGCTCACACTCAGCGCGACTGGCAGCCAACTGATCCTCAACCTGGTGGAAACGGAGAGAGTGTTCGAGTGCGGGCGGGTTGTTCCGGGGGGAAGTTCTCTGGTTGTTTGTTTGTTTGTTTGTCACTTTGAGTCGGTGGTTCTCTGCCGTCCTGTGCGCTAAGTCGAGGGCGCCGGATGTCTCCTGCAGCTGAGCACACTCCTGCCGCAGCTTATCCTCCATCTCACTGTAGCGCTCACGATCTGGCCCGGCACACACACACACACATACCGGAACACCAAAGCAGGATGTCACACAGTGCTGAATGGACTTATCTTGTGGCGTCCTACCTACCTGCTCGCAGCAGCTGCTGGTACGTCTGTCTCTCCTCGTCGAGGGTGTTTTGCAGCTGCCTGTTGATCTGTTCCTGCTCGAGGCTGCGGGCATTCGCTTGCTTGACCATCCTGTCCAAGTCACTGCACGACAACACACACGAAGGGGAAGAGACGACATTCTCACATCTGCGTCCTCTCGTTGTCATGCTCGTGTGCCTGAGTGAGTTGATGCGGTTGGTCAGCTCGTGGATGTGGGCGTCCTTGGCGCAGGATTCGTCCTCCAAAGGCTGCACACATCACCAGAACAACACTCAGAGGCTTGCAATGCTAAGCGTCCTCTTCTCACTCTGATCATGCCATCACGCTCCTCTAGCAACCGCTCTGCCTGCCTGCAGCAGACGGGGCAAAGGTTGCGTCGCTCTCTTTCCTTGCCCCTCTCACTCACCGCATCTGTGCGAGTGTTTCATTCTTCTCATCGAGTGCCCGCAGCCTGGCGTTCTCAGCCTCGCGGAGCTCAGACTCGGCGGACCGCTGAAGCGAATCCATCTCGGATGCCCTGCACACGACACATACGAACGGCGGGAGATGACTGTGGCTGTTTCGTGGCTTTCCCCTGCTGACTGTTGTTGTCTGGCGGCATCGAGTCTGTGTATCTCCTTGAGGGCCGTCTCCAGCTCCCGACGCACAGACGACAACTCGATGGCCTGTAGACACGCAGGGAGGTGGGAGGGAAGGTGGCGAGCCTATGCAGACACACACGAGTACATACCATTTTCTCTTTGTCTGTCTTGTCTGCCGTCTGCCGCGTGGCCTCCTCCTCGAAGGCAGCCAAACTGCGACGGTACTCATCTGGTGGGAAAAGGAGTGGGCATACACACACAGAAATGAATGAGTGTCGGCCTCAGTGTGTGTGTACTCACCGTTCTGTGTCCTGAGTGCGGCTAGCTGTTGGGTGAGATGCTCCTTCTCGACGAGGATTTGTTGCGTGACGGCAGTCTCACTCGACACACACGCCTCGAAGTCTCTTGCTGCCCGCTGCGCCTCCTTCTCGATGGCCTCGCGGCGAGCACGCTCACTGACAGACAGACAGGGATCCATTGGCTCATGTCTGTCAATGTCATGTCTCGATGAATGGCTTGCTTACAGGCGTATTGTCTGCTGCAGCTCCTCCGTCTGCTTCTGGTAGTCCTCGCGACTCACAATGCACTGCGACAACGCCTTCACGCACCAACATACACCTGGAACCACTGAAGGTGCCGTGCCTGCGTGGTGCCGACCTCATTTTGCTGCTGATGCTCTCTGAGCGTCTGTTTGAGTAGTTCGATCTCAGTGTCCTTTGCGGAGTTGGCTCCGATGAGGTCGACATCGCGGCGTTCGGTGTCGGCTTTGGCCTGGTGGAGGTCGCTGAGCAGCTGCTGCGCCTCCTGCTGACGACACTCAAACTTCTCCGTCGCCGCCTTCAAACTCCCCTACACATAACCAGATAACGAAGAGGCTCCCACTTGTGTGTGTGGAAAGTTGTGTGTGTGCGTGTCTCTGCATGAGTACCTGCATGTCTAGTCTGGCTTTCTCGAGCTCGCCGTATTTGGCCTTGATGGCCTCCGCCTCCTCCTGCATGGGGCCCAACATGGCCAGCTTCTCTGCACACCAAAACACACACATGGGTGGAAATGTGCTTGTGGTACCGTACCGCCCATCGTCCCAACCATCCACCCACCCACTTACCGTCTTGTGAGTTGATGAGTTGCTGCAGGTGTTCTGTGCGATGGTACACCAGGTTGTCTATCTCCGCCTGCTGCTCCTCACGACGCCGCTCCTCAGCCGCCAATCTGTCTGTATACTCACAGACACAGCAGCGTACGTGGGCAGGAATGCGACTCCCGTGTTGGCGCGTACCTTCTTCCCTGGTGAGCCGGCGCGATTTGCTCTCCTCGTCTATCGCTACGCTGTTTTGCTGCCAACCCATACACACACGCAGGTGTGCAAATTGCCGTCCCATTTGCACACACCCGCGCTCACTGTATTGGTCCGTGTGCCCATGGTGAATGTGCGTCGCATGACGATCCCCCGCGACGCATAATCAGGCGACACAGGACTTCCTGCTCACCGACACACCCACCCACAATGCCGCATTGTACCCAATGAATCCCCCCCTCTCCAACCTTACGTGCAGTTCTGGGTTTCTCCGGTGTCCACGCCCCCCTCCCTCCCGTCCCGTACGTCTGCGCCCTCCCCAGTTTGCCCGCAGGCGACGGTCCGCCCGACTGGGCCGAGTAGTAACTCACGGCCCCTGGCGACGGCAGCACGTCCACCGTGGCGCCCTTGCGCATGTGTGTGGGAGGGGTGGCTGTGTGTGGCGCTGGGCCTGGGGGTGTCTGCTGGGGGAGAGGCGGCATGCGGCGTGCAGAGGGGCTGAGGGAGTGGGGGGAGGTGGACTCGTGAAGACTCGTCAGCAACACATTGTAGAAGTCCTGCGTACACACCAAAACAAAACCAGTATGGACCCGTATACATACATGACGTTTCGCTCCCACAAGAGTTACCTGTGCGATGAATGATCTGTCCACCTCCGATTGCCCAGCGGCCATGGCGGCGTCCACATACCGCACCATCACACGCAAATCGCCCACACGCCCGTGTGGCGGGGGTGGCAGCCTCACCCCACCAGCACACGCGCTCCTCAGGTCATACTCATACGGCTCGTATGCGGCGCGGGCGTCGCTGCCCCTGGGCGTGCCCTCGAGCGGGATAAGGGCCTCAGAGGGCGGCGCGTTGGGCCCCGCTGGCGGCAAGCATGAGGATGGGATGCACACACGGCCGATGAGGGTGGTCGTGTTGTCCCTGTCGGCTGTGACGGTCAGGCTGAGGGAGAGGGACTTCAATGCGGGAAGGTCGATAGCGATGGAACCCTCGCTCGACGGAGGGATCTGCACCATAACACAGAGATACGGTGGGTTGGCGGTCTTTTGCGTTGGTCGTTTGAAGCTTTGGATGGATGGATGGACCTGTATGGATGCCCGCTTGATGCATTGTCCGGTGGTGCCGGCGACCACATCTACTTGACACGTGAGCGCATGGGTCTTGCCGATGGATGCCCCTTGGAGGTTGAGCACGTCCAGAGGACCAAACAACAGATACGGGCCCATCCGTTTCGGGAGATGTGTTTACCTCGCTCCCACTTTGGCTCGGTTTCTCAAGCCCTCAGCTTCATCAGTTTCCTCGATGTGACAAACGCATCTGCCCCTCAGAACAATCGAACGGAGAAACCGATACTGTCCGGTGTGTCGGCACGGCTTGGATGGATGGCTCAACTACAGGAACCGCTCTCAGGAGCAGTTTCACGGAGATGCGAGCTTGAAGTCCTTCTTTCGTTCGTTCCCAAGGTACGGAAGAAGGAGGAGAACGATCAGGACGACAGGCTATGTCAGCTCCAGCACGCATGCCATCCATCTTGCCGCTGATCCTTCTCATCGTTCCACCCATCGCGTCAGGCTTCATCCCGCCCTCCCTCCGAAGATCTCGCCCCCTCCAGCGTCATATTGCCCTGCACAGGCCTCACCCACCACCAAGAAGGCAACACGGCACGACGCTTCATCCATTGTGTCCATCGCCCTCTGCCTCTGATGGTGAATGCGAATCTGCCGTGGCTCTCCACGCGAGATGGTTCAGCCGTTCGCCACCAACACCGCCCCCGGCACCGGCCTACAGGGGAGCTGAGTGGATTCGTTTCGTCCTGTGGCCTTCCATGCAGTCGCTGCCACTCTGGCAGAAGGGTGTGCTGTTTGCGAGTGTCGTGGCGGTCGTCGTGGCGTTGACCGCGCGGCGTGAGGATGTGTTTGATAGGTTTGGTGGCCGTTCAAGTGTGCTTGAGAGGGAGAAGCGGGCGAGGGAGGCGTTGTGGGTGACGAGGGAGGTCAACAATGCCCCGCCTGCGCCCGTGGTGGACCTGAGGAAAGCCGTCAACAATGCCGACCCGACGACGCTGGCAATTGGTAAGACGATCAGACGATGAACGACGAGCGCAGAAGGCACGTCTTCTTCTATGGCACCCGACTGCTGCAGAGCGTGTTTCCGAGCCATCCGCTTCCACCACTGCCCAAGAAGCTGCCGCACCCCCCTTCGCCGAGTCCCTCTCCCTCTCTCCCTCCCCCTCTTCGGCTCCCCCGGCCGCCCCCCAGCCCCGCAAGTGGCTGAGCGGCTTCTTCAGGCGGTCCAGAGAGGGCCTACGGGCATCTTCATTCAAGGAAATCAGTGGAGGCGACCCAGCGCCACACAAGACCATGGCGCTCTATGCATTTAAGCTGCTCGAGGCCTGCGCGCCGCCCGGCGAGTTCCCGGAGGCAAACACGATCGTCTTGCCCGAGGTGAAGCTTGAGCCGCTGCCGACCAAGGAAGAGACCGCCGTGAAGGCCGACGCTGCCCGTCCCTCTGCCAACAACAGCACCGCCACAACAACAGAAACGACTGTGGCGAGCGGGGTGGCGGTCAACGATACAGCAGCGACAGCGGTGGATTCCTCCGAGCCCCCCTCGCCCGAGCTCTTGCAAGCCCTGACCAACATGGGCATCGACTCGCCCATCTTTGAGGCACCGATCGAGGGGATCGTCAACACGACAGCAGCAGCATCACAGCAACAAAACAAGACTTCCGCCGCCGCCAACGCGACATCAGCTGACACGTCATCATCGTCACCCGCAGAGGGTGAGGCGGAAGAAGAGGAGATGGAGCCATTGCCGCCTGTGATGGAGGAGAAGCTGCTGCTGCTGCGGGCGCTGCAGCGGGAGCTCAATCTCACCGATGCGGACGCGGCCGAGAGCTACGCCGAGGCGGTGAGCGTGCAGCTGGCCAGGCTGGTGGAAAACGCCGTCGACGCACTCAAGATCGAGGGAAACACAACACTCGGTGAGCCAGACGGACGGACAGACAGATACAATACAAGGGGTGCAAACTGACTGGAACGGCTTCTCGTCCGTCCCCTTTTCTTTCGTTGCTTTTTCTAGCTGCGATGGATGCCCTGACGGCCTACATGGACTCAGCGGCCCACCTGTTCATGCACTTCGCGTCCAACGTCAACATCACGCCCGTCGTCTACAGCGGCCGTGCGCCGCGGAACAGGCTCGAGTCGCTCTACCTGCGGTACACGCTCGCATGTCTGGACGGCAACGACGAGGATAGGGACGACACAAAGGTCGACCAGCTTAGAGTCATATTCGGCATATCAGAACGGTACGTTGCTGAGGTGCCTGAAGGGAGGGAGGGAGGGAGGGAGCAGAGGCGTGGTTCTGTCTGTCTGTCGCCTCATATTATGGTGCTTGTTGTGTTGTTGGTTGGCGTGTGTGTCTTCAGGAAGGCACAGCAGCTGTCAGAGCAGGCATGGAGGTCACGGATGCAGGCCCAAATGCCCGTAGGCAAACATCACATCACACATACATACTTACTATACAGCCCAGCCAGACAGAAAGGATGTATGTGTTTTGACGTGTTTGGGCGTATCGATGGATGGATTGATGTATGCAGGGTGCGGGTGACCTGATGAAGCTCATGAGTGGCGAGGGCGGGGGCGACTTCAACAAGCTCATGCAGCAGCTGCAGGAAGGGGGCGGCCTCGAGGGGCTCGGCGACGATGACGCAGAGAGCCTTGAAGCACTCGCCAAACTCACCAAAGGTACCGTACCTGCGTCCGGTGCCTTGCCTTGCCTTGCCTTGCCCTGCGGCGCCGTGCATCGTCGAACGACAACAACACAATACAATACATGACCAGCCAGTGCATCTGCCTCGTGTGGTCTGTGCTGTGTTGTGTTTATAGATTTCGATTGGCGGCAAGTCGAGCCGTTGATGAGAGAGATACAGGAGGTCATGACCTCGGGCGAACTCACAGAACAGGTGCGTGACCGACGAAAGCAAAGAGGAAGCGGCGATGACCGCCGGCCGACACACATGGACGGACGAGTGTTGCGGTGCGGATGTGTCTCATTCATGCAGGACAAGGAGAATATGAGGGAAGCGTGGAAAGCGACGGGCGCCGACTTCGGCCAAATACCAGACGAGGCACGCACACACCCACCCACCTAGGAAGGGGCACACACGGCTCACGGCACGATCACTGCCTGCATGTCATTGTGTGTGCAGATGCTACGTGAGCTGTCTCCCGAACAGAGGGAATTCTTCGAGACAATGAAGGGCATGGTGGCTTGAGACGGGGAGTGGGACCGATATGACAGGTGACGGACAGGCAGACAGATGTGTGTAAGGGCGTCCTGTTTTTGTGTCTATGGATACTCATGGCGAGGATAGCGGTGGTGATGCGAAACGAACGAATGGATGGATGGATAGATAGATCTGTTTTGAAACAGCAAAAGTTCTCCGGCTCACCATTGCAAAACACACGAGGCCGCACACACCAAAGGAGGGCAGGAAAAGATCTTCACGGTGGCCGGAGATCTGTTACACGGGGAACTCATTACCCTGACAGTAACGGTTTGAAGGTCACATCGGAGGCACAGCACACCCCGGGGCGAAAGACGTGTCCATCCGACCTTTCAATTGTTCGTTCGACCGTACCAGCCAGCTCGTGAGGGTGGCGCAGTCAGCAAGGTGCCTTCTAGCGTCGGCCCCTGGAGGTGTCCCTCCCTCCACTCAGCCTAGGCCCACCTCCCTCTGTCTATCTCCACACGCATAGCTGACTGACCATGGCCGTGCGTGTGCTTCCCACCTCCCCCGTGCCGCTCATCCCTATCACCGACATGCCTGAGCCGACAGCGCGTGTGAGCAACCCTTCGGCGCCGGTCAGCCCTTCCGGCCCGACATGTGACCGTGCCAACATCGACGGCTCCAGCCCGGCAAGTGGGGCAAGTGCTGCGGCGACCGGGGCGACCAGCGAGAAGCACCAAGTCAAGAAGGTTGGCGACTACGTCCTGGGAGCGACGATCGGCGAAGGCACATTCGGCAAAGTCAGGCTCGGGACCCACACAAAGACGAGTGAGTGAGAAGACGGGGCACTGTGGGCTGGGCTGGGGGAATGGGTACACGTGTGTTGGATGTGCGTGTGTGTGTGTGTGTGTGTTTTGTTGGTTGGTGTTCAGACGAAAAAGTTGCTATCAAGATATTGGAGAGAGAGAAGATCCAGGGGGACGAGGACTGGAACAGGGTCAAGCGTGAAATCAGCATTCTGCAGCGAATCCGACACCCTCACGTCATTCAGCTATACGAGGTAGGTACCGTACCGCACTCACCTAGCTATCCATCCATTTCTCAAGGCTGTCTTCTTCTGTGTGTCTATCAGATTCTGCAGACGCACGACCAGTTGCTTTTGATCATGGAGTATGCGTCGGGCGGGGAGCTCTTCGACTACATCGTGGCGCAGCGCAAGGTCAAGGAGAGGGAGGCGTGTAAGTTCTTTCACCAGATCCTGGCTGGCGTTGAAAAGATCCATCAGATGGGGGTCGTACACAGGTAGATGGCAGACGGGGAGGGAGGAAGATGTGTTTCCTCTGGGGACCGCGTGTCTCGCCCTCTTCTCCCTTTTATTTTGTGGTTGTCAGGGACCTGAAGCCCGAGAACCTTCTCTTGGATGAATATCGCAACATCAAGATCGTGGATTTCGGACTATCGAATACATACCACGTAAGGGAGGGAGGGAGGGAGGGGGAACATACACACATGCCTCCATGCATCAGCCGTCGGCACATGTACACACATCCGGGTTGGGCGCGGTATCATCTTCTGTCTCTCTGTGCATGTGTGTGAGTGCAGGCCGGTCAGTTGCTCAAGACGGCGTGTGGGTCGCCATGCTACGCAGCCCCTGAGGTGAGACACGACACACACACACAGACATGCATTCCTCCTCACCCAATGCTCTCTTGGTCGCTCACGTGTGTTGTGTTGTGTGGTGTGGTCTTGCAGATGATCGCTGGACATCACTACGTGCCCGCTGGGTGTGACGTCTGGTCCTGTGGGTGAGCCAGCCAAGCCAAGCCAAGCCAGCCCAAGCAGCCTGCATGCATTACACAACGCATACCTACCATACACGTCTGTGTCGTGTTGTGCCGTGTTGTGGATGGGATGCATTGCAGGGTAATCCTCTACGCGCTTATATGCGGGTACCTGCCCTTCGAGGACCCCGACACGGCCAAGCTCTACGGGAAGATACTCAATGGCCACTACGAGGTATCTACTTACACACGCAGACGTCACATCACATGCTCACTTCACTCACTGGATGGAAGGATGGTTGGTGCTTGCGTGTCTTCGATCGATCAGCTGCCCCGTTGGGTCTCTGAAGGAGCTGCCGATCTGATCCGCGGCATGCTGATGGTGGATCCCAAACAACGTCTCCAAATCGACCAGATCCGTCAGCACCCTTGGTGAGGCACTGAGGGGAGGGAGGGAGGGAGGCGACGGACAGACAGACAGAGAGACAGGCAGGCCGACACCAAGTGATTTGGGCACGTGTGTGTGCGTGTGTGGGTGGGTGGGTGGGTGAGTGCAGGTAT